AAGAAAAGACATAAATGTTATATTAACTGACAAGTTATAATATTGTAAAGGAATCATAAATTAGCAAGAAACAGAAAAAAATTTCCACAAAATAACAGTAGAGAAACAGGTAATTAATAAAGACAGAAACACTTAGCAGAAAAATTGTGAAACATTTTGGACAAAAATAGTTTTTTATAACCTTATGCCTGTTAAGTTTGCTTTTGTAATTTGTTTCTGGAAATGTTTATATGAAAACTTTTTACAAGCGTCGTAATACTGAAATAAATCAAAAAAATTAACTGTAGTAAGACTCTCTAAATTAAGCATTTTAATTATGAGGATTTTTATCCAGTCATAGTCGAGTAAGCCCAGTAGGCATTTTATGTGTGAAACAAATACTTTGATCAAGAAAACATAAATCATTTAAAAGTATAGCAGTTTAAAAAAAGGCGAGAAAAAACCTATAAACCTTTGGTTATAGTTACAATGATTGATCGTCATAACTTAGGAATTTCCAGGGTATTATCTCAGGGGTATCTATCCATGGATTTCTGCAAAGCGGACAACCAGCATTTTCACTAAGTTCGTTCTGTTTTTTGCAGTTAAACCAACGCAAGGCACATCCTCGACATCCGATCAGTTGACGACATCTAATGCATTCTACTGGATGATTTAATTCCTGCTCACACAATGTACACCTAAAGTTGTCGCTATTATTCACATCTTTTAGTGAAAATAATGCTATTTAAAAACTGTTTAAAAAACATAAACTGTCAAAGAAAATTTGGCATCAGTAGTATTCAGATTTCATTATAAACTGTGCGATACTGTTGATGTGCTGTCAAAAAAACCTCAATAAAAAAGTTTCAAGTGCAGATTAAAATTTTATTGTCTTTTTCCTAACTGTACTATAAAATTATTTTGGGATGTCTAACAAGAAATATATAAACAAAAAAAAAATTACTTCAAAAAAATTTTTTTATCTAAAACTTTTGTAAAATTCGATAAAAAATTATTTTGCAGTCAAAATAATTTTGAAGCTTTAAAGAGGTAAGGCATTTTTACAAAAAAGTTATGCAGAAATTTTACAAAGATGATTTTACTTTGTTGCACATTCTCCACGTTTGAGCGTAATTTCTTGTTGCATTTTATTAT